ATCCCTTTATCAGACTTCAAGCTGTATTACAAGGCTGTAGTAATGAAAACAGCATGATACTGGCACAAACATAGAGGCATAGACCTGTGAATCAGAACAGAGAACCCAGAGATGAAACCATCCTCATATTCCCACCTAATCTTTGTTAAAGCAGATGAAAACATACACAGGGGGAAAGAATTCCTATTTAATAAATGGTGCTGGGAAAACTGGATAGCCACATGTAAAAGACTGAATTGGGATGTTTAGCTGTCATGACTCACAAAAATTAATTCATGGTGGATAATGGACTTAAACTTAAGGCATGAAAATATAAGAATTGTAGAATAAGGTGGAAACACTCTTATAGATATTGGTGTCGGAAAAGAATTTGTGAAGACACCCAAAAACAATCATAGCAATGACAAAAATACACCAATGAGACCTAGTCAAATTCACAAGTTTCTGTACAATCTCTTCAAGTATTTCCCCTACACGCTCTCCAAGAATCTTTATAGTTTCATGTCTTAAATTTAAATCTCTTATCCAGTGAGGGTCAATTTTTGTTAATGGTGAAAGGTGTGGGTCTAGTTTCAGTTTTCTATAAGTTGTCAGCACCATTTGTTAAATAGGGAATCTTTCCCCCAATTTATGTTTTTGATAGGCTTATCAAAGAGCAAATGATGATAAGTAGCTGGGTTCATCTTTTGGCTCTCTATTCTGTTCCATACATTTACCTCTCTATTTTTGTGCCAGTACCATGCTGTTGTGATCACTATAGATTTACAGTAGAGCCTGAGGTCTGGTAGTGTGATTCCTCCTGATTTGTTTTTGTTTCTGAGTAATGTCTTGGCTATTCGAGGTTTTTTCTGGTTCCATATAAAATGAGGTACTATTTTTACAAATCTTTAATGGATGAAAGTGGTGCTTTATTAGAGATTGACATGAAATTTGTATATTGCTTTGAGTAATATGGACATTTTAACAAAGTTGATTCTTCCCAGCTATGAGCATGGTATGTTTTTCTATTTGTTAACATCTTCAGCCATTTCTTTTCTCAGAGTTTCTTAGTTCTCTTTATAGAGATCTTTCATGTCCTTCAGTAGGTAAACTCCCAAATATTTCATCTTCTTCGATACTACTGTAAAAGAAATAGAGTCCTTGACTGTTCTTTCAGCTTGTCTATTATTGGTATATGTATATGCTATGGATTTGTGAGTGTTGATTTTGTATCCTGAGATGCTACTGTATTCCTTGATTACTTCTAAGAGTTTTGTAGTTGAGTCCCTGGGGTTTTCCAGGTATATAATCATATCATCTATGAAGAGTGAGAGTTTGATCTCCTCTGACCCTACATGGATACACTCGATCACTTTTTCTTGCCAGTTTTGATAGCTAAGACTTCCATTATAATGTTAAAGAGCAGTGGAGTGGAGGAGTGGAGACAATAGGAAACCTTGCCTGGTTCCTGATCTGAGTGAAAATGTTTTCAATTTTACTCCATTCAATATGATATTGGCTGTGGGTTTGCTGTAGATGGCTTCTATAAGTTTAAGAAAAGTCCCTTCAATACTTATTTTATTAAGTGTTCTGATCATGAAAGGATGCTGGATATTGTCAAAAGCTTTTTCTGCATCTATTGAGAGAATCACATGGTCTTTGTTTTTTATTTCGTTTATGTCATGTATTATATTTATAGATTTATGTATATTGAACCAACCTTGAGGCTCTGGGATAAAA